CCAGGCCAGCTGGGGCTACAGGGAGACCCTAAGAAAGTGAAAAATAGAGGCCGAAGAAATGACTCAGCAGGTAAGAGCAAAGAGCACTTTTGCAGAAGACCCAGGTTTGGTTCCCCACACCCATGTGGTGACCAGCAACCATGTGTAACTCAAGTTCCAGGGGATTCAATGACCTCTTTTGTCTTTCACAGACACTGCATGACACAGGTACGCTTACATACATGCAGGCATAACACCCATACACATAAAAAAAAAAGATTTGTGTGCGTGTGTGCATGTGTGTGCGTGTGCGTGCGTGTGTGTGTGTGTGTGTGTGTGTGTGTGTGTGTGTATGCCGTGTGTGGTGCTCAAGGAGGCTGGAAGAGGGCATCAAATCAGATTCCTGGAGATGGAATTAGAGGGAGCTGTGAGTCACCCAATGTGGGTGCTGGGATCTGAAACCTGGGTCTTCTGGGAGAGCACAAGTGTTTTTAACACTAAGCCATCTCTCCAGCCCCTGTTTTCTTTTCTCAATTCTATTTTTTTTTCGGTCTTTTTGAGACAGGGTCTCCCTGTAGCCCAAGCTGTCCAGTAACTCACTAAGGAGACCAGGCTGGCCTTGAACTCACAGAGATCCACCTGCCTCTGCCTCCCAAGTGCTGGGATTAAAGGCATGTGCCACCATGCCCGGCCAGTTCTATTTTTTATTCCTTGAAAGTGCCATACATTTCTATAGTTACAGTGTATATTGATTGCACCCATCCAGCATCACCTCACCAACCCCATCTCCCTCCCAGCTTCATGTCCTCTTCTTATTACCCAGAATAAAGGGTTCATGAAAAGGCTTTACAGAAATCTATGATCTTCTAACCCCAATTAGGAAAACTTCAATTAGAAGGGATAGTAGAGGGGCTGAAGAGGGCTTAGTGGTTAAGAACGCTTGCTGTTCCTCCAGAGGACTTCGATTCCCAGCACCCACATGGTGGCTAACAACCATCTGTAACTCTAATTCCACAGCCTCTTCTGGCCTCTGTGAGCACTGCACACACATGGTGCACTTACACACATGCAGGCAAAGCACTCATACACATAAAATAAAAAATAATAAATAGTTTTTTAAACAGAAGGGACACATGAAATGGGGGAGTAGTAGGATTGGGGAGAGAAGCAGGTAGGGGGTAGGTGAGCTAAAACTAAGGTTCCATAAAGAAGCCTTATGGAGGTCCACTAGTTTTTAAGCTAATTATATATTTAATTATTTTAAAGGAAGTTTGAACAGAAGTACCCTGCATGGGTAGACAGGGCTGCTCCCAGAAGACATAGATTATTAAAAGAAAATCATAGTGCCAGGTACCTCCATGAATTATTGATCAAGGAGGCCCCAGAGGCACCCAGAACGGTACAAGCTGTTGCCGTTGCTCTTGGTTCCCACTGTAACTTGATGGTCAGAGCCTACTGATGAAGACACCATTTGCTTTGGATGCAAGGCATAGAGAAATCCACCTCGAACCAACTAGGAAACTTTCTGCTAACTACCTTACCCACTGTCAGAAAGTGCTCTGCAGGATGCTGGGGGCTAAAAGCCAACAACGGACCTGCCGAGATGTGCCCACTGGTGCAGTTGTGGCCGGACAGTTGTGGGGATAACCAGCTGTTTTCTGAATAGATATGAGGTCTGTTCCACAGAAGGAATTTCAGGCCTGGTACTGTATATCTGATCAAAAGCCCATGAATGGGAAGGTCACAGGCCCTAGGGGGACCCTACTCTTGTTGTTTTGCTAAATGGTCACGTTGTCAAACTGCTTTCTAAGTATTTATGCTTATACCCCTACATTTGTGCTGCGGTTGACTTTGGTCACAGAAGCTGCTTTTTGTCGTGGGTGGGGATTAATGCAGAGACTCATAACTGCTCAGATAACTCTGAGTGCTCAGCTGAGGATGAGTCATCTATATCAGCCTCCCACCATCCAAGGTTCAGGGAACTTCTCAGAAGAGGGAACGGAAAGAATGTAAGAGCCAGTAGAGAGCTGCGAGAGTTGACTTCTGGCCATGACTTGGCTCTTGTCTGCATCAGTTCTCATGGCAGCCGGGGTTACCTGCACAAGGCTTGCAACAAGATCAAGCTAGTCAAAATTCCAGCATGGATGTGAAGGGACCCCAAGGTCCCACACTTACTGGAGGAGCTATTGACAGTTGATGGGTGCTGAGGGAGAGTCTTCCCTGAGGATGGGACAGTGCAGGGTTGCTCATGTCCCAGTGGATGGCCACGTACCCATGAGCATATAGGCGGCACTAACTGGACTCATGGGGCTATTAATGAAAAATAAAAATAAAAAGGGGAGTTGTTATTTTTGAGACAGGGTCACAGGGTCTCATTATGTGTCCCTGGTGGTCCTGGAACTTGCTATGTAGACTAGGCTATCCTCAAACTCACAGAGATCTGCCTGCCTCTGCCTCCTATAGGTGTGCGCCACCATGCCTGGCTTTTTTAAACTTTAAAAAAAATTATTTTTATTTTACATGTATGTGTGTATTGCTTGCACATATGTAGGTAAGTGCACCTGTGTTGTGCAATGCCCTCAGAGGTCAGAAGAGGCTGTCAGATCCCCTGGGACTGGAGTTACAGACAGTTGTTAGTTGCCATGTGGGTGCTGGGATTCAAACCCAGGCCTTCTGCAATAACAGTCAGTGTTCTTGACTGAGCCATCTCTCCAGCTCCGACATTTTTTAAAAAAAAATATTTTATTCCCAGCACTCAGGAGGCAGAGGAAGGCGGATCTCTGTGAGTTCAAGGCCAGCCTGGTCTACATAGTGAGTTCTAGGATAGCTGAGGCCACAGGGAGACCCTGTCTCAAAAAGAAAAAAAATTATTATTGTCAACCTGGATCTCCAGACTCATATATAACCAACTGACTAGTGGATAGCTCTACTTAGTCAATAAGCAAATTAAACTCACATGATCAATATTTTTTTTTTAATTTTTATTTTATGTGTATGAGCGTATTGCCTGCACGTATGTGAGTGCACCGGAGTCGTGCAATGCCCACAGATGTCAGAAGGGGGCTTCAGATCCTCTGGAACTGGAGTTAGGACAGTTCATAGCTGCCATGCGGGTTTTGGGAATTGAACCGGGGTCCTCTGCAAGAGAAGTCAGTGCTCTTAACTGCTGAGCCATCTCTCCAGCCCGAGGACATGTTTTTATATAAACATTTCTGTCCTGACTGTGACAATCTCAGAAATCTGCAGAAGGCCATATTCGCTTAGACCTTAAGCTTGGGTTGTTGCTGTTTTAACATTGTTATTTGAAGCAGCTCTAAAAGAACCATTGTCTCTATACAGTCAATCTTCACAGCAAATGCTGTCAGTTATGTTAGACTCTCATGGGCGGGGGCAACCAGACTCCAGGGCGGGGGGGCAACCAGACTCCAGGGTGGGGTGCCTTTCTCTTTCCTTGTCTCAGGTCCCATTTTCCCTGTCTTTTATCCTGACTCAAGACATTTTCATGCCTTTTGATTCATATTGCCCAAATATTTCCAAAAGAGCTGTAGGAATCTTCAGTAGCAATCTGCAAGTGTTTTACTGTACTGTTTGCCAACTTTAGATTTTTTTCTCTATATAAATTTTAGTTTTTTCTAACTAATTTATAAGCTGTCCTTTGTTATTTTTAAAGCTATTTTATTCCTAAAGAATATTATACTTTTTCTATATATTTTCTTACTAGAGTTAACTGTAGTTTTTTTTTTCCCTGTAGTTATTTTTCTGTTGCTTAATTTTCTTTTAACAATTTTAGGAGACAAGGTCTCATATAGCTTGGGGTGGCCTCAAACTTGCTATGTGGCCAAAGATGGCATTGAATTTCTGATTCTCCTGCCTGTGACTCCTGAGTGCTGGTATTATAACTGTATGTCACCATGCCTGGCGACACTTTGCTTTTATTCACTGAAAGTTTAGAAGATGCTTCCTCCTTCTCCTCCTCCTCCTCCTCCCCCTCCCCCACCCCC